CAATTGTTGGGCAAACGTTAGGACTTGTATTTATAAACGAAATTGAGGTATCTTTTGTATTAGAAATGGGTTGCCAATTGTTGGACAAACGTTATGACTTGTATTTATAAACGAAATTGAGGTATATTTTGTGTTAGAAATGGGTTGTCAATTGTTGGGCAAACGATAGAACTTGTATTTATAAACGAAATTGAGTTATATATTGTGTTAAAAATGGGTTACCAATTATGGGCAAACGTTAAAATTTGTATTTATAAATGAATTTGAGGTATATTTTGTGTTATAAATGGGTTGTTCATTGTTGGGCAAACGTTAGGACTTGTATTTATAAACGAAATTGAGGTATATTTTGTGTTAGAAAAGGGCTGTCAATTGTTGGGCAAACGTTAGAACTTGTATTTATAAACAAAATTGAGTTATATTTTGTGTTAAAATTGGGTTGCCAATTGTTGGACAAACGTTAGAACTTATATTATTTGACATTTATAGACACGAGCAAAAGATGGTGTGCCACCGACCGTTGTGGAATTGTTCAATTATACGCATAAGAATTGTTCGAGTGGAGATGTCGCATCTACGGATTCTGGAGGGTACGTGACCTCTTAGTGTAGCCAAGTCATGGTAAGTATATCTATTTATTTTAATGTTTATATAATTGGATAAGCAACTATCTATCTAGGTTGGACAAACATTCAAGTCGTTTAAATTAAAATCTAGTTTGAGTTGCCATTTGTTGGACAAACATTATGATTGATTAAGTTAGAAATTACGTATATATCAATATTTAGTTTGGGTTGTCATTTGTTGGGCAAACATTATGATTGTTTTGGATACAATTTTCGTATGTATCACTATTGTTTTGCCTGGAAACGCCCCATTTACAGCCGTCATGCTGTCAAAATTGACTTGCAATCTTTTTTAAACCATATATAGGATGACTATTCAAGAGGTCTCACCCAAATATATGGCGATGATCCCTCCACCTATCCTTTAGTTGATAAAGAGTTGTAGGAGCATGCGATTGGGGGAAGCAAGAAAGTCCGTCTATTTGGGTTTGGGTACAACCAAGAACCCAATTGGGTCTTGACCACACAAGATGGTCCATCGTATCCAGAGAGTCGGGTATGTGTCTCTTTTTCTTTGATGATGTTTATCGACTTAGTTTATATTTCATATTAAATATTTTAACGTTTTGTTTATTTTATAGCAAATTGAAGCCTTAAGAACCGAACTTAGAGATTTACAAGAAGAAAATCAGTGTCGACGGATGGTGGAGGAGCGACTGGAAAAACAACTTCAAGATATGGCTGCTTTGGTTAGCCAACTCAGTCAATCACAACATTTTTCTTCGGCACCGAATTGAATATCGTTTGTTTGCTTGGAACAATATATTTAGTTTGTTTGTAACAATTGTGTGCTACTTTAATTTGAATATCGTTTGTTTGTAACAATTGTTTAGATTAATGTACGATATTTAGTTGCACATCTTTTTATTTTTTCAATATTTTACAGATTTATAGGTTTTAAATATTTATTGTAACAATATTCTAAAACTAATATTTTATTTAAAGTTCTGACGGATATATCCGCCGAAAATAAATATTTAAAGAATAAAAATAATCATTTTAAAATTAAAATATATCGGTGGCGGATTTGTCCGCCGATAATATTTAAAAAATGTTTTAAAAAATTTAATTTTATTTAATTCGTTTTTCTGGCGAAAATTATTACCGACGGATATCCGGCGGAAATTTCTGCCGGTAATTTAATGCAATTTAAAAAAACCTTAAATTTTATCTTAATTTAATCAAGATTTTTCAACTAAACCGGTGAAAAGTTTTTGGCGACCGAAATCCGCCAGAAAAATAAATATCCACCGCTAAACTCGTCGGTAAATTAATCACCGGCGCCAACATTTCCGGAGACAATATCCGACGGATTTCCGGCAGATATTGCCTCCGAAAATGTTGCCATGTTTGGTTGTGTATTTATATTTATACTATATTATAAAACATTTGACAAAAACTATTGAAAGCCATTTTTTATGCATGAAGTACCGTTTATTGATGCATATTACTTAAAATTCAATAATACAAGTAAATTGTGCGTAATTACAACCTATTAAAGTTTCATGTTTGAATTTTTGTAACTAATCGCAGATAAACATAATCAAATAAAGAATAGACATCTCATTTTAAATATAAAAAATTTAAAATATAATTAGAATAATCATTGAGTTCTAACTTCTAACAATATACTTAATTATTATCTTTTTGGTTTAATAATATAATTTTTTCATAAAGATAATAATCAAGTATTTTGTTAGAACTCAATGATTATCTTAATTATATTTTAGATTTTTTATATTTAAAATGAGATGTCTATAATCTATTTGATTATGTTTATTTGCAGTTAGTTATACAAATTTAAACATAAAACTTTAATAGATTGTAGTTACGCACAATTTACTTGTAATCTTGAATTTTAAGTAATATGGATCAATAAATAATACTTAATGCATAAAAGATGGTTTTCAAGAGTTTTTGTCAAATGCTTTATAATATAGTATAGATTATTATTATTAAATCAAAAATAAAAAAATGAATTAAAAAAATATACAAAAAACAAAAAAATTTAAATAGTTAGTTTAGTACTAATATTAATATATTTTTTCAATTTTTTTTATGAAATCTTCATATTTATATTTTATTCAAAAATAAAAAATCATCGCTTTCTCAAAAACACATAAAACCGTATTATAACATCGACTAAGACAAAAAACGAAACACTAAAATCGAGATATATTTCGTTGCATTGAGTGAGTACCCTTCTAGTATGTGTGTGTGTGTGTGTGTTAGAATAACTATTAAACCTTATTTGAATTGTAATCTATCTTAATTCAGACCATATAAATAAGGTGTTAGGCTCAATCCATTTCGACGGATTGATTTTTTAGAATTTAGCCTTTTAGAAATAATACATAAAATAAATCTTTTCTTTTTTATAATACACATTTAGATATAGGATTTTTGGGCTAGCACCCATTGGAGGCGGGAAGTGTGCTCTTGGGTAGAGTACCGTAGAGGAAACCTCCATTAATTTCTTGGTGCTCTGTCAAAATCCATGTTCGATCCATAAAGGTACGAATTCTAAACACTCTATGGTGTGTGGTTTAATTGAATGCATCATTGGATCCGAAATGGGTTTTATCTCAAAAAAGTTTTCTAATTGTAACCAAAATATTTGATTTTTTTTTTCATTGTGTTAGAAGGTTACAAATTGTATCAAAACCCAACCGTGGTATCAGAGCCACGTTGAGAATTTAATTAAAATGTTGGACCAGCAAACTCAGATCCAACAACAGATTTTCCTTGCAAGTTGATTCCCTAGAACCAACATAATTCTAAAACTACGTAACCAACTGACTTCACCACGATCGATTAGGTGAAACTGACTATAGCCTTCTTGTCCTAACCTAAATCCAGGAACATATAGAAGCTCGGGCCCATTAGTGGCACTAGCTTCAACATTCTATTAATATAAATCCATGTGTGTTGAAGGATTAATGTGTCATCATGTAAAGTATATGACGATAATGATAAAGATAAAGCTTAGAGATAGAGATATATAGAGATAGTGATAAGCATATTAGAGTTAGATTACTATTATGTATCTTATGGTTATTTCTTTGTAACTCATCCCTATTTAAAGAGCTTATGATTAATGAGAATAAAACTGATTTCTCGATTCTCTATATTATTTGTTCTACAACACGTTATCAGCACGAACGCTCAATCAATAATTTGCGGATCGACTTTTAAGCCTTGAACTTCATCAATCAATTCGCTCATCGCTACTACAATACAACCATCAAAACTTTATAGCATATAATATTTAAACTTAACTCTTAGTACGTTCGTTTATAAAATTTTAACAATAAAAATAATATCAGAATTGTAATTGTTTTCCTTAAAAATCACAATTACATTAAAAAAATTTGTTAAAACTTACGTATCTTTTGTCCTCTTGCCAAAAGCTCCCAAACATGCCACCTATGGTTCATTTGAATTCGACCTAATATTTTGGCCTCATGCCAAAATCCAAAACTATTAATGTTATTCATATATTTCATGAAACAAAGTAATTGCGTAGCATAGAAAGATTTGGCAAACGGATGTAAATAGCCTTAAGGTTGTGGGGACTTAAGTAATCCACGTGATTCCACTCCTACTTGGAAATCCAAAAGTGTATTTGCGATTTATTTTTGAATATTGAAATATTGATACAACATTATCACCAAAAGAAATTTTTTAAAAATATCAATATTTAATAATACTATACTGCCATGATGATGAAAATTTCATGTGCATCATAATTTGTCTTCATAAATTTAAAATATTGTCTCTCTATTTTATATAGATGGTCGAACCAACTCGCCCTGAATTTGATATCTTGGATTCAGAAGGACTTAAATATCATAGATGGGTATCAGATGTAGAGACTACATTCATTGGAAAGTACTACAGTTAAACAATCAACCCCCCCCCACTGGCCCTAAAAATAAACCATCTGAAAAGGTACAAGCAAATGCCTTAATGTTCTTAAGACGACACATAGATCCCAGCCTCCAGTGGGAGTACCTCCAATTGAAAACCCCCAAAGAATTGTGGGATGCACTGAAAGGAATATTTGGGAATGTTCATGACTCTTTACTTCCCGAACTAATGGTACAGTGGAATGAAATCCGCTTACTCGATTATAAAAATATAAATGATTTCAACAAAGAAATGTTGCGTTTCAAAGCACGTTTAAACTTTTGTGGCAAGGAACTCACAGAAAATGACATGATTCAAAAAACTCTATCCACTTTTCCTACATCGGAAATCATACTAATAAATCAATATCGATTGGAATACAATGACAAAAGACTCACAACCTTTAATAAACTTATCAACCTACTGCAAGTGGCTGAGAGACACAATGAGGTTCTTTTAAATAACAACGCTAGACCTGTCGGGACCAAGAAAATTCCTGAGTCAAATCATGCAAGCGTTAGAGATGGGAAGAACTCCAAAGGACAGCGAGCTAAACATACTGAATCATACACACGTGGCAACTATACACCACAAGGACGGGGTCGTGGACTTGGTCGTGGACAGGGTCGCAACAACAACCGTGGTGGCTTTTCCAATTCATGGCACATAAATGCAACTGTTGGCCCAAGTAATCAAAGGAAATCAAAAGGAAAAACACCAATGACCGATCCTGCCAAAAGATAAAGAGACAGAACTGAACCTTGCTACAGATGTGGCACGATTGGGCACTGGTACAAGAATTGTCATGCAAGCAACACTGTAGCAGTCAACTATAAGAGATACAGGGAATCCAAAGAACAGGAATCTCATTACCTCGAAGAAACAAGCAATGATCATGAAGTCAACCAAACAATTGCAGATTTTACCAATATCAATAACAATGATCCATCCTTAGAAACCTCATATTTTAACTAATACGTTTCACCTTTATTTTCTTTAAAGACAATTGTTATTGAGATATTATTAATTTTAAGTTTTGCAATATTTTGGTGAGTTTATCGTTTGTATTGGTGGATTATTTTTAATAAACTTTAATTTGTGTTTATACAATATCTAAACCATTGATGTAAAGAAATACGTCAAAACAAAATTATTAAATATTCTTCGTTTCTTGTATAAATGTATCAAGGAGAACTTGAGTGCTTAGTTGATTGTGGGACCACTCACACAATACTAAGAAACAAACTATTATTTACTGATATAATTGCTTATGAATCATCAATTGCTACAATGATTGGATCATCCAACTTAATACTTGGTAAAGGAACTGTCATTTTCTTGTTGCCTAATGGCATAAAAATAATAGTCACAAAAGCACTCTATGTTCCTAGAGCTAACCGAACCTTGTTAAGTTTCAAAGATATATGCTCCAATGGCTATCATATTGAAACACACTATGAGAATGGAAATGAGTACATGTACATCACCTCTAATGAATATGGAAGGAAACGTATATTAGAGAAATTAACTTGTCAAAATAGTGGGTTATATCTTACCACAATTCGGGTTATTGAATCATATTATGTCATCAATAATGAACTTTGTGATAGTGACATATACAAGATTTGGCATGACAGCCCGGGACACCCTGATCGTGATATGATGATATGTATACTGAAAAATACGCATGGACATCCTCTATTTCAAATGAAAGATAAAAAGAGGCAATTCCAATCATTGACTTCTAAAGCAAATGAAGCAACACCATCATCACAATATGCCTCCTTGAAAACCTTGAACTTTTGCCAAGCCTGTTCATTAGCTAAAACAGGATCGAGACCATCCTATGCCAAGGACACAAAACAAAACATTCCATTCCTACAACGTATAAAAGGTGACATTTGTGGACCTATACATCCATAACGTGGGCCATTCAAGTACTTTATGGTTCTGGTTGACGCTTCGACACAACGGACGCATGTCGCACTATTGTCCACACGAAACGTTGCATTCGCAAAACTCCTAGTACAAATTATACGTTTAAGGGCTCACCACCCCGATTACCCTATCAAGTCTATACGACTCAATAATATTGGAGAATTTACATCGCAAGCATTTGATGATTATTGCATGTCTGTTGGGATTGATGTAGAATATCTCGTACCCTATGTGCATATACAAAATGGTGTCGCAGAAGCTACCATCAAAAGGATACATAACATAGCTAGGGCATTGGTTATGTGCATCAATTTACCTACTTCTGCCTGGGGATACGCAATACTACATATTCGCTTTAGACCCACTGCTAGCCAACCATTTTCTGCATACCAGCTAGTAACTAGATATGAGCTTGACATTTCACATTTACACATATTTGGTTGTGCAACATATGTGCCAATTGCACCCCCACAACGCACCAAAATGGGTCCCCAAAGACGATTAAGTATATATGTTGGATATGAATCCCCAACAATAATCCGCTATTGAGAACCCTTGACGAGTGATCTATTTACCGCAAGATTTGTGGATTGTCACTTTGATGAGACAGTCTTCCCATCGTTAGGGGGAGATAGGAAAAAGGATTTTCCACGGGAACGATAGGAATTGTCATGGAATGTTCTCACTCTGTCTTATTTTGATCCCCGCACTTCATAATGTGAAAGTGAAGTGAAATGAATACTAAATCTTCAAAGCGTAGCAGACTTGATACCTGATGCATTCACTGATATTGCAAAAGTGACAAGATCACATATACCGGCTGCAAATATACTTGCAAGGTTAGAAGTCCCCAAACAGGGGCACAACACCGTCGGAAAGAGTGTTGCAACTACACATAGTGGAAGTGTGGTTGAGGCCATGGCTCCTAAAAGGAAAAAGAGGAGGCCACTTGGTTCGATGGATACTCATCCAAGAAAGAAAAAGGAGAGTAAGGCACAATTTGATCCACTTATCATCAATATTGAAAACCCTTCTCATGAGATTGTCTCTGATTATAGTTATGTCCATGAATCATTACTGAAGGACGCTCCAAAATCAATATTGATTTAAGAGAATAAAGAAATCTCAATAAATTATGAGAATGCGCATGAGTTGATGGAAAGATCATCCATACTCATTGATGATTTATTTGCATATACTGCTGCTCATGAGATCATAGAGCGCGATGACATCGAACCATGCTCAGTTGAAGAATGTCAACAAAGATCAGGCTGGCCTAAATGGAAAGAAGCAATCCAGGCATAACTAGATTCTTTGGCAAATAGACAGGTATTTGGTCTGGTAGTGCTAACCCGACCAAGTGTAAAGCTTGTAGAACATAAATGGGTCTTTGTCAGAAAGCGTAATAAGAATAATGAAGTCGTAAGATATAAGGCTCGCCTTGTGACGCAAGGGTTCTCACAACGCCCTGAAATTGACTATGAGGAAACATATTCCCCAGTAATGGACATAATAACGCTTCAGTATCTAATTAGCCTAGTAGTTTCCGAAGAATTGGAAATGCAGCTTATGGATGTGGTTACTTCATATCTCTATGGGGATCTTGATTCAGAGATATACATGAAAGTGCCTAACGGCCTTCCACTGCCCAATTTAAGTAATTGTAAACCACATACTGCGTTTTCAATTAAACTTAGATGCTCACTCTACAGATTAAAACAATCCTTGCGAATGTGGTATACCTGTCTGAGTGAATACTTAATTGGGAAGGGATATAAGAACAACGAATTGTGCCCTTGCGTTTTTATAAAGAAGACAAGTTTTGGATTTTCAATCATAGTTGTATATGTTGATGATATGAACATAATAGGTACTCTTGATGAAATAAGAGATACTGCAAGCCATTTAAAATCTGAATTTGAGATGAAAGATCTTAGGAAAACTCGGTTTTGTCTAGGTATAGAACTAGAACATCGAGCTTGTGGAATCCTTATCCACCAGTCCGCTTATATCCAGAAAATGCTCAGGCAATTTAATATGGATAAAGCACATCTGGCTAGCACTCCCATGATCGGTCGAAGCTTGGATATAAGGAAAGATCCATTTCGTCCAAAGGATGATGACGAAGAGGTGTTGGGAGCTGAAATTCCCAATCTAAGTGCAATAGGCGCATTATTGTACTTAGCACAATGTACTCGACCATATATTGCATTCTCAGTGAACTTGTTAGCTAGATTTAGCTCGACGCCAATGCATCGTCATTGGAATGGTATCAAGAATATATTTCGATACCTGAAAGGAACCATCGACATGGGGTTATTCTTTCCCTACAAAGAGAAAAATGAGGTTACAATACATGTTAAAGATATTTACAAAGAAAGCGTTATCCCCTATAGTGAAACCCCAAATGATATATTAGTAGGTTTTGCTGATGTTGGGTATCTCTCTGGCCCATTTAAAGGTCGTTCCCAAACAGGATGTGTTTTTACAATTGGGAACACGACTATTTCTTGGAAATATACCAAGCAAACCTTGTAGCTATCTCCTCTATTCAGAGATTATTGCTCTACATGAGGCGGTTCGAGAGTATATATGGCTAAGGTATGTCATTGTACATATAAGAGGAGCTAGTGATTTAAGTTCAACCACTCAAAATCCCACATGCATATATGAAGATAATGCAAGTTGTATTGAACAAATGAAAGTGGGGCATATCAAGGGAAATAACACAAAGCATATCCCACTTAAGTTTTTCTATAATCAGCAACAACAGACTCTCCTTAAGATTCAAGTGAATCAAGTAAGGCCTGAGGAGAATGTGGCTGATTTGTTTACCAAATCACTACCTAAGTCCACATTTGAGAAACATGTGGAAAACATTGGAATGCGGAGGCTTTCTAAACTCCCATGATTAATATACGTATCAAGGGGAGTAGTAGACGAGGGGGGGGGGGAACTACTATACATATGATATTGGTATGTTGTGCTCTTTCCTTCACCCAATGTTTTATTTTTCCCAATTGGTTTTGTTCCTTGGTGTAAGGTTTTAGTGAGACAACCGTTTAAATACTATCTTGTTTTATTTTACTCATATGATTGATGTACCAATGTGAGGAAATACTAGACTAAAGGAATAGTCTATAAACGAGTGCGTTGTACTCTTTCCTTCGTCTTGTATTTATTTTTTTCCATTGAGTTTTTATTTTGACGTAAGGTTTTAACGAAGCAACAATAGTGTACCATCACTACTTTGACTTGGTACAAGGGGGAGTGTTGAAGGATAAGTTTGCTATCGTTTAAAGTATAAAATGATAATGATAAAGATATGACGATAAACCACAAGGGTGATACCTGATTGGTTTGAGTTTGGCTCCGAAGATCAAAAGTACCAGGAGGTCCCAGGTTCAAATCCAAGGAGAAATAAAAATCCCTTTATGGCCACGGAGGTTCAAATGCGGTGACTCCGGGTTATCCGCAAAGCATGTGGTCGCTCTGAGATTAGTCGGCTCGCATAGCGGGTTGGATATCCAGGTTAATAAAAAAAATGATAAAAATAAAGATAAATCTTAGAGATTGAGATATATAGAGATAGTGATAAACATATTAGAGTTAGATTATTATTATGTATCTTATGGTTATCTCTTTGTAACTCATCCCTATTTAAAGGGCTCATGATTAATGAGAATAAAACAGATTTCTCGATTCTCTATATTATTTGTTCTACAACAATATGGCACTAAAAATTAATTTAAATAAAGGTTTGACCCTCCTTATATAAAAGAAAATTTTAACCAAATTGAGGGTTT